TGGGAGGTGCCAGAACTGAGTTCTGGCAAGTTCCAGCTGGTAACAGGGCTTAGTGAGCTGGGAGAATCAGTGGCAGAAAGAAGTCCAGAATCAGAGGCAGAAGCTGAAGCAGGCAAGTGGGAGGGAGGCCAAGAGGCAGAGATGAAGCAGGCTGGTGAAGAGTCAAGGGGGTCTCCCCCTCCTGCTGTGACAAGCTCCTCTCCCCTCTTGTCTCCCAGAACCAAAAGAGGGATGAAACGGGTGGAGCAGCAGCAGCAGGCAGCATTCAGACACAGTCTCTGATTGTTTGGAGAAAGCCCTTGAGAGGAGTGAACATAGACAGCTGTGGAGAGGCGGGGACTTTCAGTGTCAGCAGCTGATTCATGGGGCAAAACCTGCTGCTGACACTTATTAGGCCTGACACTCAGACAAGTCTGTGAAGACTGTGTTTTTGCTAATAGTTGTTTCCAACTTGGAATGGTGTGATTTACTGCCGGCTCACTCTCTGAGACCTGGTGTGAAGCATCTCCCGACGCATCTAATAAAATATTGCACTACCATCTCAACCACAGTGTAAGCAGTCTGTGTGAACAGGAGCCTTGCTCTGCCTCAGACCCAATCTCACCCTAGATATGATGCTTCCTACACTTACCTGTCTGGCTATAATCCTGCAGATGCCACTTGCGAGATCCAATAATCCATCTCTGACATTTTTATCCTGACTTCTCTTTTAAGCAGAGAGGCTATTTTTATCTTGTCTGATCCATAGTAACACTCACCTGCCCACATGAGTGATAAGGATTAGCTAGTGTTTGTAAAGTGCTCTGAACATGCAAAGCACTGTAGAAGTACTTAAATGTTTGGTGTTTTCATTTTGTTTTGTTTTGTTTTTTTGTTTTGTTTTTTTAAAAAACAGAATCTAAGCGCATTGTTCAACACATTTGCTTCTTTGGCACTCGCCTGCTCTAGTCAAATAATGACACATTTGTTAACATTACAAGTTGTAAAAGTCATTTATTTATAGTACACCCTGATCCCCAAGCCACTGCGGGTAGAGGAAAGTTAAATCTGCATGACTTGTTTCAAAGAATGTCTGCAAAGAATTCTGTTTGCGAGGTGAAATCCTCACGAAGGAAAAATCACATTGGGACAGATGTTTTAATGGATCTGGGCTCAATGCTCACTGAAACGTGTTTGGAAGTGCTGGTGTATGCAGAAGAAGGGAAGGGGGAAAAAATCCCAGCGTCTCCAGGACTAGTCCATTAATGTGCTTCAAAAATGGAATGGAACAACAATTAAAAAAAAATGTCATCTCTACAGAAAAATATCCACATCTACTCTATTGTTGGATGCTACTCAAACAGAGAAGAATGCCAATCCCATTAGGAAAGGAGCTGAGTACTAATATTTGGATAAACTTTCTAGCTGTGTATAAATATTGGAATGCTTTCAGTTCCAAAGAGCTACCACGTTGTAAGACTTGAGCTTAATTTATATCAGGTTGCAACACTTGTCCCCCACCAAGCCAAACACAGTCCACCAGGGGATCAATAAACCTCCTATCATGATTTTGTTGTTTGCCTGGAAGTGCAAAAAAAGCAGAGGTTATCAGGCAGCTTGTATGGCAGCTGTGGGCCAGCTTTGGCCTGGTGGTCATAAGAAGAGCTCTGCTGAATGAAGCCAAAGGCTACTCTAGTCCCACATCTTGTTCCCACAGTGGCTGACCTATGGGAATGCTACAAGCAGCAACTGAGCGCAACAGCACTCAGGATTCCCATGGTGAAACACACATTGTGTGCAGGCCAGAGGCATATTTTGTTCTCAGAAGAGGCACTATGGAGGCAGACTTCCTATTCATTTCTGGGCTCATTTCAAAGTGATGGATTTGATCAATAAAGCACAGCATGGCTTGGGATCTCAGTACCTAACGGAACACCTCCTACTGCATCTCCCTACCCATACCAAAAGGGATGCGGGTGGCGCTGTGGTCTAAACCAATGAGCCTTGGGCTTGCCGATCAGAAGGTCAGTGGTTCGGATCCCCACGACAGGGTGAGCTCCCGTTGCTTGGTCTCCTATCAGTTCAAAAGCACATCAAATTGCAAGTAACTAAATAGGTACCGCTCTGGTGGGAAGGTAAATGGCATTTCCGTGCGCTTTTCTGGTTTGCCAGAAGCAGCTTAGTCATGCTGGCCACATGACCTGGAAGCTGTACGCCAGCTTCCGCGGCCAATAAAGCGAGATGAGCGCTGCAACCCCAGAGTTGGCCACGACTGGACCTAAAGGTCAGGGGTACCTTTACCTTTACCAATACCAAACAGGTCATCTATGGAAGTCCTTCTCTGTGTGCCCCTTCAATCTGATGGTGGCCATTAAAAAGAGAGCCTTTTCAGTGGTGGTTCATCTAGCTATGAAATGCTTTCCCTAAGAAATCTTGCCCGGTGTCTACATTGTTGCCCACCTGCTCCCCGGCTAAGAATTAACAGAGAGCTCAGTCAATACAGCTTGAGACTTAATCTCAGGGCCAAGGGTTTGAGCCCCACATTGGGCAAAAGATTCTTGCATTGCAGGGGACTGGACTAGATGACCCTCATGGTCCCTTCCAACTCTACAGTTTTATCCTTCCAAGGGTGTGTTCTTTTATCCCTGTGGAATGGCTAGTAAGTTTAGCTCAGGGATCGGCAAGGCTTACTGGCCATGGGCTGGATCACTCCCACAGAGATCCTCCATGGGCCGGACCACTGCGGCACAATGCCAGAAATCGCGTCTGCGCATGTCCGCAGTGCCGGAAATCACTTCTGTGCATGCCCAGATGCCTGCGCAGGCACAATTTCCGGTGTCTGGGCAGGTGCAATTTCCAGCAACTGGGCATGAGTAGAAGCGATTTCCAAAGACATGGAAAAGAGTCCCCATGCCGCGCTGTGCCAGGACTCACCAAGTGGGCAGCTCGGTTTGGGGGTGGCTCATGGGCTAGTTAAGCAACCCTCATGGGCCACTTCCAGCTCATGGGCCTTAGGATGCTGACCTCTAGTTTAGCTCCTATATTTTCTGGTTGTTATTTAACTTCTGTGATTTGTATTTTATTTTATTGGGTTGGGGTTTTTTCCGCCTTTGGGTTTTATGCTTGTTTGGATTTTTAAGATTCATTGACTAGTCTTCAGCTAACTTCTACTCAAAGTAGAACTCACTGGAATGAATGGACCTAACTTTTTAATAGTCATAGTCACTGATTTCAGCGGATCCGCTAATTAGAGTAAAACTTAGTTGAATACCACCCATTGCCCCATTTTTATTGTATGATTGCTATTTTGAAAACTGATTTTTGCACTATGGCAGAAGCCTGAGGGCACATTCGTCAGAAGGAGTGGGAGAGCCCCCAAACACCAGCTCAAAAACCCTCCCCTGTAAGACCATTAAATTCTGCAGTCTAAAACTACCTAACTGCACCATATTCTCCCCCTGTTCCAGCACATCTGAGGTGTCCACATGCTGCTCAGCTTTCATTTGTAGCTATAAAATTATGTTTGTGCTATTTGCGTAATACAAAACAGCTAAATAAATAGAGCCAAAATGGTATTTTTCAGCATTTGCTGGCAATTGTTTCATAATCCACAGCGGAAATTGTTCCTTCTAATACAGTGCATTAGAAAAGTGAATTGAATGACTATAAAATTATGATTCCCTCTCCATCTCAAAGGGAGGTTTCTCAAGTAATAGGAGCAGAAAACTAACATTAAAATGGCATAATGGGACGTGTCATTTATAGAGTCCTTATTGGCTTTACAGTATTGTCGGCATCAGAGTGCATTAGTGTGACACGTTCAAATTGCAGAGGAAGAAAAGCATTGGAGGGGGTTGGGGAGGAAGAATGTTAAGTGTTGCATTTTATCATGTGAACAGAACATTTATGGTAAAGCCCCAGACACCAGCTCTGGTAATGAATGCAGAAAGGGAGATGCAGAAAAACTTGCAGCCAGGGACCCATTCTTTTCCTTGGGATTGTTATGCTAATTTTGCAGACTTGCAGCAACAGCAAAGTTGAGATTTAGGAGGAATGCATCAATTACTAACTACTGATGCTATAAAGATATCCTTAGCTCCTTCAGCTAATTTAAAAGGCTCATTTATATCCTATTTTTCAAGCGCTGCACTTCTGCCAACATTACGTGAAAGGTAAACTGTTCAAAAGTCAATACAGCGGATGGCTTTTTTTGCTGGGAAGCCTGAGAGTGATTTCTTTGGAAAGTTTCATGTTCTAATTTGTTACTAATGCTAAGGAAAAGTGACTAATGGTTTATCAATAGGGCTAAGGATTTGAGGTATTAACTTCTTTCCCTTACAGTTGCTGCAGGAAATGTCCACTTGGTTGGCGTTCATGAGGCAGAGGGCTTGGAGAGAGTCAATCAGTTATGTGATTCTTGGTCTGTATGTTTTATATCAATCTAGCTTTCCAGACTACCTTGTCCCAGAGATCCAGAGAATGGAACAGAATTATGATAATCACTGTCATCGGCAACTGCCTTAAAATATAACTGTAGGGATGCAATCCTTTCAACACTTTATTTGGACCAAACTCCAGTAAATTGAGTGGGACTTAAAGAGAAAGCCAGTTTGGCGTAGTGGTTAGAGCAGCCTTTCGTGACCTTGAGTCCTCAGGTGTTGTTGGACTACAACTCCCATCATCCTTAGCTCCTCACTCAGCCATGAAGTTCACTGGGTGAAACCTTGGGCTACCTCAAGGAGTTCCTGTGGTCATTAAATTACTGGGAGAACCAAGTGTAGCACCTTGGGCTCCTTGTAGGAAAATGTGGGACATAAATGCAAACAAACAGACAAACAAATGTACAAGATGGAGCTGTTAAAGCAGTGAAGGCACACATAACTCATGCTTCACATACAGAAAAGCCCTGCTGCAATTTTATTTTTGAATTACAGTATTGTTACGGTAAAATCTGGGTGCGGAGCTACTCTGCCACCCAGCTCATCGGACTAGGTCCGCGGGTCCCTGCGGAAGAAAATGAGCTCAGCCAGAGACAGGAGCAAACTGCAGAAGATCCAAGTTTATTGCGCAACAGGTTCAAGGCGAGATTGAACAGCGAGAAAGGGGTGACATGAACTTTTGAAATTTCCCTCCATGTCCCAGAATACAGTGCAAAATACATCCCAGTTACATCATGAATACATTAAGAAGAGGTTGGGTTACACAGATTACATCATGAATACATTAAGAAGAGGTTGGGTCACACAGGATTAACATATGGAGGAGGGAGGGGGGAATATGCAGAGCTGGAGATATGCGCAGATAAGCACATCCTGAGTACCTGATGAGAAGACAATGGTCCATGTATGCATGGTCTGCCACCTGGCATTGCCCGGAGGAAAGGCTTGGCAGAGTGATTTGACAGGATTAGGGTCTTGACACCTTGCTTGAGGGATTATGGAGGACAGGGGAGGTGTCATGGAGTCCTAGAGAAATTGAGCAAATTGGCACGTTGGTTTTCTATGAATTTTATAGATTTTAGTCCCTTTTGACATTGACGATTGGAAATAAATGGATATATTGTAGCGAAGAAGGAGGTGAAGAAGACATGCCCCGCCCCCTTCCGTATCAGTATTTAATACATTTATGTACCACCTTTATCTTCCAAGGAGCTCAAGGTGGCATACAGGGTTCTCTTCCTCTCCATTTCATCCTCACAGCAGCCCTGCAAGGTAAGTTAGGCTAAGAGATGGTGACTGGCCCAGTGGTGATTCCAACCCTGGTCTCCCAGGGCATAGTCCCAACACTCTAACCATTACTCCAGTTCATGTTACGATTAGCCTTGTGGATAGCTTAGTTGGTAGAGCATGAGACTCTTAATCTCAGGGTCATGGGTCTGAGCCCCACAATGGGCAAAAGATTCCTGTATTGCAGGGGGTTGGACTAGATGACCCTCGTGGTCCTTTCCAACTCTACGCTTCTATGGTTCTTATTCTATGAGTCTCTTCTATACTGCTTCACTGAACCATCCAGTGTTAGGAATAATAATAATAATAATAATAATAATAATAATAAATTATTTATACCCTGCCCTCCAGGCCAGAGCTGGGCTCAGGGCAGCTAACACCAGTAAAATTACAATAAAAACATAATAGGGGGGAGAACAATTTAAAATACAGGTTAAAAATACAATTTAAAATGCAGCCTCATTTTAATAATAGCCCATAGATCAAAACCATAAGGGGAGGGAAACATAAGGGTCAGACTGAGTCCAAACCAAAGGCCAGGTGGAACAGCTCTGTCTTGCAGGCCCTGCGGAAAGTTGTCAAGTCCCGCAGGGCCCTAGTCTCTTGTGACAGAGCGTTCCACCAAGTCAGGGCCAGTACTGAAAAGGCCCTGGCTCTAGTTGAGACCAATCTGACCACCTTGCGACTTGGGACCTCCAAAATGTTGTCATTTGTGGACCTTAAGGTCCTCCGCGGGGCATACCAGGAGAGGTCCCGTAGGTATGTGAGGTGTGAGGCTTCATTTAGCAAATAAACCTTGCTCTCTGTGATCCTGCCATCGCTGTCTGCCAAACTGGTGCCATCTCCAGTTAAAAGAAAGGACCAGCTATGAGGTTCTGAGAAAGACCACAACCTGAGAGCAGCTGCCAGTCAGGGTACAGAATACTCACCAGGTGGGTAAATTGTCTGACTGGCTGTAAAACAGCTGTACAGTTTTGTACCTCCAGATGTGTTGGACTACAACAACCATCAGCCATTGCACTTCAGTAATACTTAATAATAATAATAATAATAATAATAGCAGCAATAACAATAAAGCCATTCTTTTTGCAATAAACAAAGCATGTTAAATTGAGCTCCTTTCCCCTTCAAAGGCTCTGATATTAGGGAGAGCACATGGCCAAGGATTTTAAAACAGGAAGGAAGCTCTCCCTAGCCTTACCATCTCTTGGCACCATCATTTCCACCAGCATGTGAGGACCTTGGGTGCAAGAGTGGTTTCTGGGTGGAGATAGATGGTCATTAGCCCAACAGTTCTGGCAAGTGCAGGGGTGAATGGTTCTCAGGACAGAATCTGTCTGTCCACTTAAGGAAGGTTAAGGTGTGGGAGAGTGTGCAGAAAGACCTATCTTGCCCTCTTTGTCAGGTGACAGCCCTCAGCTCTGCTGTTCCCACTTGGCCCAGGATGCCAGCACCTGCAGAGGCTTGGATTCCTGCTGCTTATATTCCGTGATCTGACAGCGCTTTTACTCAGTCTGATCCCATGGTGAGATTTCACAGGCAAGAAGTGGTTTTATTTTCGACGGTGCAGGTAAGACCTGGGAAATGAATATTGCAAGCCCTGAATCCCACGACTCTAAATTTAAAACTTAAATCAGGTCAGGGCTACACAAAGAAGTATCTTATCTCCGCTGCTTGCTTTTCATATGAGGACCTGGCTTTTCTTTCTTCTGGCTCCCTTCTGAGCATTAAAGTGCACGTTCCCTTGCTTTGACCTTCCTTGCCTTTTCATCTTCACCTTCACTTTCCGAATTCCAGAACTACTTCTAGACTTCTTCTTTTTGCAGCACTCCAGCTCTGTGCCCCCTCAGTCTATCTCCTCACTTTGCATGCGGCCAGCCAAGCCGTAAGCAGTAGTTGGAGGCTGCAGCGGCAGCAGGAGATGGCAGAGGAGTCAGGCAGGTGCAGAGGTGACCATAGGAGCAGGTAGGCATGGAGGCAGAGGCGGGTGGGGATGGCATTTTCTGTTTTGCCTGCAGTGGTGAAATGCCCTGTGCCGGCCTTGATTAGGAGACTCCTACTCCCTCCCTAAAATTTCCAGAGTTCCCTGTGAAGAGGGAATCGATTGTTAAATCCCCCTGGAAATTGTAGCTCTGGGAGGGGAATAGCGGGGACTCCTAAAAACTCTTCACAAACTACAGCTCCCAGAATTCTTTGGGGGAACCCATAACTGTTTAAAGTTCTACCATAGTGCTTTAAGTCAAGTGTGATCTAGGGATGTGGGTGGCGCTGTGGTCTAAACCTCCAAGCCTCTTGGGCTTGCCAATCATAAGGTCGGCAGTTCAAATCCTGCTGCTCTTCTGTCCCAGCTTCTGCCAACCTAGCAGCTCAAAAGCATACTAGTGCGAGTAGATAAATAGGTACCGCTGTGGCGGGAAGTTGTTTTCATGCACTCTGGCACTCGTCACGGTGTTCTGTGTGCCAGAAGTGGTTTTTTTCATGCTGGCCACATGACCCGGGAAAGCTGCAGACAAATGCTGGCTCCCTCTGTCTGATGAGCGCTGCACCCCATAGTTGAATTTGACTGGACTTAACCAGTCCAGGGGTCCTTTACTTTTACCTTTAAGTGTGTGTGGCCATTGTCAGCCTTTCTCTGCTCATGGTCTTTCCAGCTTGCTTGCATTATGAATTCAGACTCCCTTGGACTCCTGATTTTTGTAATAAGTCCTGCTCCTGGAAACTCCCTCCCTTTTTTTTGCAATTCTGCTTCCTAAATCCAGATGAGGGTTCTTCCCATGCTGTTGGGATTCTTCTGAGAATCACACTTGGATGCTAGCAGCCTTCAAAGGATTCCCCCCCACTCCCAAAGTCATAAATAATGTAGAGAAGCCTTTGAGGCTGCCTGTACCCAGTAAAATTGATTGGCAATAAGTACAAAACAGGTAAAAGGAAGCACACAGTGAATACTTAATATGTGGGATTTGTTACAAGGTGGTGTGGTGACAAGCAGCAATCTTCTTTTAAAAATGGTTTAGACAAATTCGTGTTCAGGATAGGTTTGTCAGCAACCGCTAACCATGATAGTTAATTGGAACCTCCAGGAAGAAGAAGAAGAAGAAGAGTTTGGATTTGATATCCCGCCTTTCACTCCCTTTAAGGAGTCTCAAAACGGATAACATTCTCCTTTCCCTTCCTCCCCCACAACAAACACTCTGTGAGGTGAGTGGGGCTGAGAGACTTCAAAGAAGTGTGACTAGCCCAAGGTCACCCAGCAGCTGCACGTGGAGGAGCGGAGACGCGAACCCGGTTTCCCAGATTACGAGACTACCGCTCTTAACCACTACACCACACTGGCTCTCACTGGCTCTCAGGAGACCATATCTCTGAGGGTCAAACTCCATGTGGCATTTATGTCCTGACTGCTGCTCAGACCATGACAACAGAGGCTTCATTCATGCAGGAAAAGGCTATCAATGGCTCCTAGTCATGGTGACTATGTTCTGCCTTCATGGTAATGCTTCTTTGTGCTAGAAACCCGTCCTGCTGGCGGCTTTCCCAGAAGTGTTTGGGCAGCCCACTGTGAGACCAGGATGCTGGTGGGCCATTGGCCTGATCCAGCACACTCTTAGAATCATTGAACTGTAGATTTGGAAGGGACCCTGAGGATCATCCAGTCCAACCCCCTGCAATGCAGGAATATGCAGCTATCCCATAGGGGGAATTGAACCTGCAACTTTGGCAATATCCTCAGCACCACACTCCAACCAACTGAGCTGTCTTCTTATGTTCCAGTTTACACACTGGCCCAAGAGGTGTGGATCAATCCATTTCACGCTGGAATTCACAGATACCCAATTCCTTAAGCATCTCTTGTTATAACTCAAAACCAGGAGTTTTTAAATTATGCCAAGAAAACGCAATGGGAAGCTTGGTGCTGGGGCACTGGTGGAATGCCTTCTCCAGCAGCCTTTCCAGCAAAGGGGCAGGTTGAGAGTGTTAGGAAGCCCAGGTGCCACCTTTGGTAAAGTGCTTGCCCTGGAGTCCAGGGTAGGAATGTGGGGATCTTAGGCATGGGCAGGGGGAGGGAATGTGGCTATACAGTACTCCCTGTCTGATCCTTTCAAATCTCTTTCATAGGCCCTCTTCAGCTGCACTCTCTCTCCCTAGGTCACACCTCTCACCATCTCTGCTTTGTCCTCTCCTGAAGTGCCCTTGTCCTGCTGGAATGTGTCCTTTGAAACTGATAATGTTTCTTGCTTGCCTGGATGCAGAATAGAGGGGGATGAGTGAGTGTTTGTAGAAATAAGCCAACTGTGTTCAGGCAAAATCAGCATTTGCTACTCTATTGCCTCTGGCCCTGCCCAACACTGACATGTGCCCCCTCCCCCCCAAAGTTACCCAGAAGGGGATATAGCCCTTAGGCCAGTGGTGGCCAGACTTGGCCCTCCAGCTGTTTTTGGACTACAACTCTCACCATCCCTAGCTAACAGGACCAGTTGTCAGGGACGATGGGAATTGTAGTCCCAAAACAGCTGGAGAGCCAAGTTTGGCCATCACTGACTTAGGCTGAGAAAGGCTCCCCAATGTTGCTAGGACCTAGAATTTATGCCTTCATTTACAGCCACCATCAGTCAGTAGGGCAGGAGACTCTTCATCTCAGGGTTGTGGGTTCAAGCCGCACATTGGGCAAAAGATTCCTGCTTTGCAGGGGGTGGGACTAGATGACCCTCAGGCTCCCTTCCAACTGTACAATTCTATGATTCTATGTGCTGGCGGGCACTGAAGGGAGCTGTAGTCCAAAACATATGGAGGGT